TGTAAAATTTTTTCCCTCTTTTTGCAAAATGGACCATACCGTAGGATTGCTTGATGAGTTTAGTTTTGCTTTTATACATGGATATCTTTCCATGCTAATACATAGAAGTTGTCCTCTATCTTTTAAAATTTTTATGGTATAGATCTGCCATACTTTATTTAACCATTCCCCTTAATGAATATCTAGGTTGTTCCCCAGAATAAACATTTTTTTTATGTTGCTATGACTCTAAATCCTTTATGGTTTGTTTTTGAGAACATGCTAAGAATTTCTCCACCTGAGTATTATAAAAATATTAATCCTTAGTACTTTCGTGGTTTTTCATATGTAACTTGTAACTGGCCACCTTTTCCAATTGTCTTCTTAGCTTTCAGCTGATTCTCCTGGGTGCTCTGGAGGACAGCAATCGTGTTTCTGCAAATAACGGCAGTTTGGTTTTTTCCTTTATAATATTTATGTCTCTCAGTTCTTCTCTTGTTTTTTGATTTTCTCCCCACTGGTTAGATCTAGAACACCCATTTTAAAAGCTTGTTTCCAAGTTCAATTTGTGTTAAACATTGGAAGAAATAAAGTAAGTGTTCAGCTAATTACACAGTCACTGTGGCATTGGAGGAGGGAAAAAAGTGAGCTGAAAGCTTCTTTCTAATCTTAATTATTTAACTCAGCCAAAGTGTCCCTAGTGTTTTTTGTGGGGTTGAGCTGGGGCTGGACTGAGGAGACGGTTTCTGTGGGAGGGAGACGTGTCACGTGGAAGGAGATTGAGCAAATCAGTAAACACACCGAGGGTAATGAAAGCCAGGATCTTCACAGAGTAGGAAGTTACAAATATGACAAGGGGAAGGCTGGAATAAATTTGCAGTATTGCATTAGAATAGCAGGTATCAGTGTGAGTTCACGGGTTTTAATATACGGGATAGGCCGATCTAGAAATAGATATAAATACATGTGTATACACCTATGCATATGTAAATTATATATATATAAATAGACATACAGATATTTCCCGGCTTTGCTGCTGAGAAGCCCAAAAGGCAGAAACACCCCAGTAGCAACGAGCACACCAGTGCCCAGACACAGGTTTCTAAATACCATTTGCCACTAAACGGAACCAAACCTGAAACCTCTCTCCAGGAGCTATACTCCCTACGGTTTCATAATCACAGGCTAAGAGGACATGTAAGTCTGCTCTCTTGTTTTACAGAAAGAGACACCGATACCCGAATTTTGTTATTTTCTTTCGGTGTTGGCTTTCCGGAAGTGACAGGAGAAGAACAATCATCTAATATCAGCACAGAGTATCTCACGATGGCCTTCTGAAGGTGGGTGGTAGGAATCATGTTTCTTTCTCTTTCCTGCTAGGGAAATCAAGGCATAGAGGCACTGTGCCTGTCTTAAAAAAAAAAAAGAATCAAGAACTGAGCTCTCATTTTCTGACTTCTAAGCCACTTGGTCACACAACTGAAAGCTGTGCGTTATTAGCTCTTTTTCTGTCTGAGTTACCAAGCAGACATCCCCCACATCCTGTTGGCTCATGCTCTCTACACGACAGCCACCAGGTGTGCTGGCTGGGGACGTGCCCATGACCCCAGCCCCCTCCGACACTGAGAAAGCATTCCTCTGCTAGAAAAGGCAAGACGGGTACTTACATTTTTAATGATCAGTGGGTATCTGGTTACCCGCTGCATAGGCTTCAGTATAAAACTAGAGAGCGGCATCCCTTTACACCGAGGGTCCATTGCCAGTCTCTGAAACAAGAGATTTTCTTTTTAAGCGCACTTTAAAAATCTGCAAAATCCCAAGTCAGTGACATCAACACTAATGTCCTTTATGTCATTTATCCGGATGACAGCTGAGAGGCCTGGGGTTGGGAGAGCCTGCCTAGTTACCCCGGTCCAGGAGGAAACGGTTCCGGATGGAGGCCGGGCGCCCTGCTCTCCGGATCCAGCACACCCCCCGGGGTACGCGTGCTTCCCTACCCACAGCAATAAGATTCTAGCTTTGCAGAGAATATTTCTCCTGATGTCTGCAAAAACTTTATAACATTCCCGAGAACAAGAAGAATCACAAGTCTATATGGTCAGAAGAAAAATTCCCCTAAGTCCTAGCTACGCTGGAAGGGCTGAGCCTCACGGTCTAGTTTCAGGTAGAGCCTGCTCTCGCCTCCGGGAGTGCCGGGCAGGGCCGGGAGAGGGGAGCCGAGACACAACTTGTGCCCACCCTCCACTCCCTGTCTCTTTCCTCCCACTACGTTTGCCCATTCTGTCAACCCTCTGGAGGACAAGAGTCTGCCCCAAAAAGGTGAGTCCCGTCTACAAGTCACAGGGGTTCTCTGGTGACTCAGCTCTTGAAGGCTCTGGTCCTGTTTAGTGCCTGAGAAATGGCAGCTGCCTCGACCCAGCGCCCCGGACCTGCCCCAGCCATGGGCATCATGATTCTAGGACACCTTGGAGCTCAAAAAGGTGAGCCACCCCCGCCGGGCTGAGGCAGGTGAAGAGGACAGGGGCGGGGAGGGACAAGCCCCTGCCCAGGGCTGATATCAGCACTTCCCTGAAGTTCAAGAGCATCCAATGACGGGGCCCCTGGTGCCTGTGGCACCCCGCAGCCCAGCTCTCCCTGCTCTCCCATCTCCGCCTGCTCCAGGCCTCTTTCCCAGCAACCTTCCTCTCCTGAGAAGGACCTCAGAGCACCACGTTCCTCAACCAGCAGATCTGAGCTTTCGATACTGAGAAATGCTAAGCCTATGTGAGGCTATGACCAAAAGAGGTCATACTTACACCTCACCTTGACGATTCAACAAGCACAACTCTCGGGGAGGTGGGCACGGCCTGCCCCCAAAATGCATGCGGTCCAAAGAAATGCCTGTTACTATGAATTTGCTGTTTATTCATCAAAATGTACCTGCTTCATAGAAGCTATTTTATTCTCTCCCTATTTTTTTCCTCCAGGAGAGGTGGAGGCTGTTTGAATGTCCCAGTGTGGCCAGCAGGGACCTACCCTGGCCCAGAGCCTGGGGCCTCCAGCAGCATTGATTGGCGCCACCTTCTCCAGTGTCCCCTGGTGGACAGAGGTCCTGGCATCCCTCACTGACCCCCACGGGCTGCCTAGAGCTGGAACTCACCAAGCAAAGACAACTGGGAGAGGAGCAAAGGGGCCCCCGGGCCCCCGGGCCCCCGGGCCATTCCCTCTGCAGGTAAAGGGCCAGGACCGCAAAGAACTGAGGGTGCTGAGATTAAACAGGACGGGAAACCTGAGACTGGCCTGGGCCTGGCGAAGGAGACGAAAGATTCAGACTCGCATCCAAATAACACCACTAACACCTGGAAAACAGATCCTCGAAGAGACTTCAAAGCTTCCAAGCCCGGGGCTGGCCCCCCCTCTCCAAGCCCACCCCTTTGGTGACCTGCCCCAGCTGTGGACACCATGTGGTTACATCTGCCAGTGAGTGCCAGGCCCTGCGGTTTAGCCACGACCTCAGGCCCTGTCGGCCTGCGGTGGGGATACACTTGCAGAGATTCGCGTTAGCTGCCCAGAGGTCAACACTCTGGGGCAGGGTGTCCACGCAGCCTGGGCCCCTTACTTTGACAAACTCCTTGAAGTCAGGGGCCTCGTCCGTCTTCTGCTGGATCAGGGCGGCCCCATTGAGCTGGCAGCTGCAGAAGCGGATGTAGGGCTGCATGTGCGGCAGCTGGGCGCTCAGGATGTCCCCGATCATCTTCACGGGCATCTTCTCCCCAGACATCTTCTTGCGGACCCTCAGGGCTCTGCACGGAAACACGGGAGGTGAGCCCCCGCCTTCACGCTGTCTGACAGCACCACGGCACACTTCTAGGTTGCACAGAAACAGAATGTGTGTGAGGGGCACAGACCCAAGGGCACTAAAGGATCTATTCGGGAAGACAAGAAACGGAGAAAGAAATGAGTCTAGTGCTACAGAGAGAGAGGTATCACCAGGGCGTTTTTCTTTGGCATGATGGCTGCTGGCCGCCATTTTTTTCTTGTGGGGAAATATGGAATCCTTTCTTTAACTCAGACAGGATCCCTGTGTTGATGTCTCACTTCACAGATTATCTGTGGTGAAGGCCCCAGGCTGGCGTGGCTCAAGGACTGAGCCTCTTTCCGGGGTCACTTCCCCCCAAGGGAAGTTGCTTTCCTGCCAGAGGATAAGGAGGCTGATCTTCAGGCTAAACAGAACACAACTGCCACAGACAAATCATCCCGTTATGTTCACCGAGAGCCAGGTATGAATGACTGTTGAACTCTCTCTGTGGTTCATAGCTTCATTGCCTGTGGCTAATTTGAAGTTGACTAGATTAAGAGGGGTTCTGAAAAGGAAAGTCTGTTACTGGGATAATGGGCCAATGAGCCCAAACAATTTATATCCTGGAAGCCAGGAAGAGGTGTGCTTGGGACTGGAAAGTGTCTGTTCCGGGGTCCACCTGCAGTGTGAGCGTTCAGGGTCGTGGCAGCCAGGACCGTCCCTGCGTTCTTCCAGTTCTAAAATGTGAACTCCCAACACCAACATCTGGAAGAAGGGTGCGGCCCTGAGCTGCCACACGTGAAGGATAGCAGTGTACAACACGGGCAGGGCCACCATGTATGAGGCCATGAGTGTGTTCAGCTACCCCAGTTAGGTGGACCGATGGATAGGTGGATGGATGGAACACAATGGTATGGTGTATGATTTCACATAAGACTGGGAAGATGGCCCTAGGAGTTCCCATGGCTGCTTTCATGGTGGTGGTGGAGAAGCCCCTGAGGTATGCACTGGACTATATGATTCCAAAGAGGCTCTGTGATATTAGCATTAGGCTTTAAAAACTTCAGATCACTATCTTTGCTTTCTCCCACGTTTTGGGCTAAAGAAAAATTCCTTGGACCCAGAAAGCCAAGAAGAGAAGTCTCAGGGACAATAAACTATGTGGTCTGAGCGATCAGTGTTTCCACCTCAAGTGGATGCCCTCACGGGCTGCCGGGGGTGTGAGACGTGGCGGCTGGGCGTCCTCAGCACAGCCCAAAGCGTCTGCCCAGTGACCGGCTGGTGCGGAACATCCCCCAACATGCAGAAATTTGCTCAAGAGTAACACCACCAACAATGTGGGAGGATGAGAGCCCTGACTAACCATGTTACAAATTTGCCATGGATGGAAACAAGAAGAAATTCTATCATTCCATCATTTTCCTACAAGGAGCAGTTTTGTTTTGTTTTGTTTTGTTTTTTTTGCAAGGGGATAAAAGTACCTTCACCCTCCTCCCTCCTCCCTTTTCTTAAATGATGGGGGAGACAAGGAAAAAGGAAAAGAAGAAAGACCATATGCAGACAGTCATTGTCTGGCGGATATTAAACCAGTTCTGGGTTCTGGAGGCCACGTTTGTAGCCTGGCATTGCCCACCCAGGAGGCAGGCCTGATTGACTACGGACCTATTCGGTTCTGTTGCAGGTCCCCTTCCGGGCTGTTCCACTGCACAGGCAACACGTACAAGGATCTGAGCGTATTACCAGGCCCAGGGGTCACGTGACTGCGTGATTGCAGCCACAGCCCTGGGAGTACCGGCCCTCCGGTGAGCTGCTTTGCAATCTCACAGGAAGGTTTGCAGATCAGAGGCCTTGAACTGCAAAGGGTAATCGCTCAGCTAAACATTTCAAAAAGGGCTGAATGTTTGCTGAACGCACGAGTGTCCCTAACCCTCTGAAGTCTGAAGACCAAGTGCACAGTCATGGAGCTGGTGTTTATTACTGCTTCTTATGTGTCTTTATATATATATGCATGCTTATTTACATATATATATAAACTTATTACCCCCATTTCCTGTTGGGGAAACTGAGGCACACAGAAATTGTGGGACTTGGCCAAAGTCCCACAGCTAACAGGTGGCAGAGGTAGCCCTTAAATCCAGGTCTGACTCCGGAGCCTGCAGTCGGGGCCACAGGCCCAGGGGCCTGCCACACCTGCCTGCCCTGAGCGGCTCTGGGCACCTGCCCATCTTCCCAGAAGGAGCTGCACTGCTCCCGCCACCGCGCCCTGACGTCTGCCTGCTTCTCTGGGTCACGGCCTCCGCTTCCCTCCCCGCTGTCCTCTCCTCCGCCCATGCTCTCTTCTTCCCTCTTCTCTTTCTCCTAACCCACAGTTCCATGTTTTCTTCTTTCTCCCTATTCTGTCTTCACCACCCAAGATATACTTTTATTTTTTATTTTTCTTTTGTTTTCTGCTTAAGCAAAATGCTGTCCATTCTTTTTAAGTGAAAAGGAAGTTAAGTCAAATACTTTATATTTAAGAAAAACATTTTTTCTGGGGAGAAGTGCTTTCATTTTTTTCTTTCCAGCAAGGGGACAAAAAAGGATCTTGATAAAAAACAGTTACCGATACCGGGGTTGGCCATCCCCCTCACCTCTGCTATCACTTCTGACAGCTGCCCCAAGTGGCCCGCACCTGGGGTCTGGACATAAAAATGTTCTAGATCTTTCTGCCCCACCCTACTTATGCAAGGCACATTTCTCAGCTCTCAGCCTCCCAGCAAGAGAGCCAACCATTTGTTCTAACCCCCAGCAGGGTATCATTAATAGGAAGTCCCTGGGTCCCAATTGGCCACTTCTTTTTGCTTTTTTTTTTTTTTTTTTGAGACAGGGTCTCACTCTGTCGCCCTGGCTAGAGTGCAGTGGTGTCATCATAACTCGCTGTAACCTCAAACTCCTGGGCTCAAGTGATTGTCCTGCCTCAGCCTCCCGAGTAGCTGGGACCACAGGTGCACACCACCACGTCCGGATAATTTTTCTATTTTTAGTGGAGACAGGGTCTCCCTGTTGTCCAGGCTAATCTTGAACTCCTGGTCTCAAGCGATCCTCCCACCTCAGCCTCCCAGAGTGCTAGAATTACAGGCGTGAGCCACCGCGCCCAGCCCCAGTTGGCCACTTTTTATTTTCCTTTATTTATTTATTTGTTTGATAGCGCCTATGCTTTCCCCCCCAAATACCAGGGGTGTGTGCTTATCCTTGGATCAGGAGTAGCAGATACGTGGCTGCTCACTGGTGGCATTCCACGGATCGCTCCCTTCAGTTCTCTTTATCCCAAAGTGCCTTCCTCTTCCGGGCTGCCAGGAGCCCTCGAAGCTCTCCATCATCGGGGCTCTGCCTTTGATGAAGAATCATGTCTATCTGGCCAAGCAAACATAACAAAACGTTCCTTGTCCAATTTATGATGTGGGTGTTCACTGTGTAATTCTTTCAAGTTTTCTGTATGTTTGAAATTTTTCATAATACAATATTAAAAAAAAGACAAAGAAATGAGGTCCCCAGAAGGCTCCTCTTAAATTACAAGTATTTTATCTGGAAGATGAAAACATTAGCCAGTTAGCCCAGACTAGCTAATCCGGTAATCAGAGGAACAGGGGCAGAGGGCACGGCCCCAGGGCTGGGAGGGGGCCAGTGATCCACAGTGTGCCAGTTACCGGCCTGATCACCTTGCTCCTGGGACTGCCCCTGCGTGGCGGACAGGCCACGTACCCTGACTGCAATCTCATTAAAACAAAGGGTCGGAGAGTCCCCTGCCCAAGCTAATTGCCCCAAACAAGCTACAAGGTGCCGGAGCCCAGACAAAAACTTGGGACGTCGGACTCCAGGTTCCATATTCTTTCCATGGGAGCAGGACTGGGTGGAACCACAGTTCAGGGACCCCAGGCATCCTTCACAGAGCAGCCCACCTACTGTGTGACTTCAGGCAAGTCACTCAACCTCTCTGAG